AAAAAAAAAAAAATGCATTGACCCATGTCACTTTCATTTTGTGTATTTCAGTGTACATAAATTTTATTTCCATAAAATGCATTTAAAAGAAAAAAAAAGCTGAAAACATCAGAATTGAGTCAAGGAGAAGATGATGGGAATAGTGTGAAAGATGTTAGAAAAACTTCATTTAAAGGGTGCCCTTCCTAGTTGGGAGCCCTGGTGGCACAGTGGTTAAGCACCTGGCTGCAAACCAAAAGGTGAGTGGTTTGAACTCACCGGCTGCTCTGCTTCCATAAAGATCACAGCCTTGGAAGTCCCACAAGGCGGTTCTATTCTACCCTGTAAAACCACGATGGGTGGGAGTCAACTCAGCAGCAATGGACTGGGTTTTGGTTGACTCCCAGTTGAGAAGTCCTGGGCAGCACAGATGGTTAAGTGCACAACCACCAGCCCAAGGGCTGGTGGGTCAAGGCCACCCAGAGGCACCTTAGAAAATAGGCCTGACAATCTACTACTGAAAGGGCACAGCCCTGAAAGCTCTATGGAGCAGTTCTACTCCACATGTGTGGGGTCATAATGAGTGGGAATACATTCTATGGCAACTGACAACAACAACATTCCTGGTTGCTTACAGAGGTCCACCCTGAGAGGCACAATGAACACTTACCCCTAATGGCGGAAGTCCCTCCACGATGTTCTTCTTTCCCGAGAGGAGATCGGACACAGGCCTTTTCTTCAGAGAATCTCTTCTCACTCGGTACCTTCCTGAGGTCGTGAGGTCAGACTCTGACATAGAGGGTGTCAGCAGCCCGTCTCTCCTGGGCCGCTGGGCTTCAACCATCAGGTGAACTGGACTGACATCCCTCACCCTCTTCTCAGATTCTGTGACATGGGACTTGGGCTCGAGAATATGCAGAGGGCCCATTACTGGAGTGATGGAACTGCAGGAGTAACTCAACTGTGGCTCTTGGGAGCAGGTGCCCACAGCAGGCGGAAGCTGTCGGAGCCCGTGTGCACATGGAGAGAGTGTTGCACATGTTTTGTTTTCCTCTTCAAAATCGTCCTCTTCTTCACTGCTGTGTATCAGCATAGTAGCGTCTGAAAGGGACTTTTTATGACCATATCTCAGGCTTGCCTGCTCATCAGTGTCTTCTGGTTTTGTTCTTTCAGTGAAAACATTGGGCTGGGAGCCTGCTGAGACAGTCCGCGGCCCCACATCTGCCGCCGAGGCCGACATGGTCCTCTCCTTAAGCCTCATGCCCTCAAAGCTGTGGGTCAGCCCTGCGATTTCTATGCTGTTCCTCTTGTGTAACTGACCGTGGCGGGCCGAGGTGAGAGGCTCACTGACCTCCTGGAGAGAGTGAGCCACCGGCAAGCTGTCCTCCTGGAACGTCTGCACTGAGTGATGGACTCGCCTCGTGATGAGGTCCGGGTTGCTACTGCTGATGTAGAGGTGGCGAGACAGGTCTGGGGTACTGTTGGCAGGCCGGGGGTACTGGTAAGGAGGGGGCGGGCGATACACCTGTGTTTTCATGATGTTTGGAGTCGGGTAATCCTGGGCCTGCAGCTGCACGTTGGTCAGCTCAGGCACACTGACTGCCCCCACCACAGGCCTCCTCTCAGCAGGGTAGGGGTAGGGAGCCTGGCTGTGGAAACTGTAGTTCAAGTTGAACGGGTAGTGGGCCGACTGGGGAGAAGTGAACTGTGCATGCTCCCGAATTTCAGGCTGGCTGTAGACCAGGGCATCGGGCCTGCTGTACGCGTACGAACTGCCAATGTTGAGGTTTCGCAGCGAGTGACTCTGCCTTTCTGTGTGCATCATCCCTCTGTTGAGCTGCTTCATCACCGTCTCGTAATCCGGGGTGGGGCGGTAAGACGGGGGTATCAGGGCGCTGTGCCGATGTGACGGGACGTAATCAGGTCTCATGACGTCACTTCCAGTAATACTTGGGTTAGAGGACATAGGGGAGGGCTGCAAGTAGGGCTGGAGATTATTTAAGGAGTTAGTGCTGTGTGCACTGTAGACACTACCATTACGGATCCGACCATTGAGGTCAATCTGGGCTCTATCCAGACTTGTCTGAGAGTGACAATAGTATCCATTCTGGTTCGTCACAAAGAGGTTATCTGGAAAAAAACATATTTAAAATGTATTTTAAAAATACAAAGATAGCCTCTGAACTGTCATGGCATTCAATGTGGCTTATGAAAATCTATGAGAAAAAAGAAAAAAAATCTGAGTGACCCCGGGCCCCTCGCTTCCCAGAGCCTCAGCTTCCTCATCCATAGAACAGGGACATGGTCTGCCTTACAGATGCTAGTCAGGCTCTGTACTCAGTGAGAATTAGCCAAATCTAAGTCAAATTGCAAGAGTCCAATTCAAAACCCTGCCACAAATACTTACAGCAGCTTTATTCATAATTGCCCAAATCTGGAAGCAACCAAAACATCCTTTGACATGGATAAACAAACAGTGGCCCACCTACCCAGTGGAATATTATTCAGTGATTAAAAAGAGCTAACACTCCATGAAAAGACATGGAGGGAAATTAAATGCATATTGCCAAGTGAAATACACTAGTCTGAAAATGTCATATACTATATGATTCCAATTACGTGACATTCTGGAAAATGCAAAACCATGGGTGTAATATAAAGCTCAGTGGTTTCCAGGGGTTTGGGGTAGGGTGTGAGTGAAGAGGGAGTCGGGGATGAATAGGAGAACACAGAGCATGTTTAGGGTAGTGAAACAATTTCGTATGATACTGTAATGGTGGATAGATGACATTATACCTTTGTCAAAATCCACAGGCTTGTACTACACCAAGAATGAATCCTAGCATAAACTATGGACTCCAGTTAATCATAACATACCAACATTCATTCACTGATTGTTAACAAACACATCACACTAATGCAGTATGTTAATAATGGGGACAACTGGGGGGAGAGGGATAGTATATGGGAGCTCTCTCTACTTTCTGCTCAGTTTTCCTGTATACCTGAAACTGCTCTAAAAAATTTAAGTATATTAATTTTTTTAAATACAATTGTATTGCAAAACACTATATTTTTATGAAAATAAAAGATATGTTTTATTAGAAAGATGAAAAGGACTTTCTGAAACTCTGGGAGCTAGAGGCAGATACAGTGTTCAGGGTGTCAGGCCACTGAGTCTGCTTTCTCTCCCTGGGTGGGGATGTGGCCCATTGATGCCGAGCTGGTTCAAGAACCAACTGTCCAGAAATACTTCCTAAGTAGAATTCTAGACTGTGTGTAAGTTCTTCCAGACGGCAACAAACGCTTCAACTAGGAAAGGACAGTGATCTCTGAAAGCGCAGGTTCTGAGCTCGTCCAGGTCCACTAGCAGCTCCAGCAGCTGCACATACTGTACCATGGCCAGGCCCCTTCCCTGCCCTGGTCACCACTCTTCAGGAAGGCAGGAAATCCCTGCCCAACGGACTACCAGACTCAAGAGCTCAATCACGAGCTGAGTGAGGATGATTTCTAACACCTCACAGAAAATCAGCATCCAGTCCTTCAGGAAACCAGACAAGAGCCACTGCCATCCAGGTGATTCCAACGACACTGTAAGATAGAGCAGAACTGCCCCAAGGGTTGCCAAGGCCGTAAATCTTTACGGAAGCAGATGGCCTCATCTTTCTCCCACAGAGAAGGTGGTAGTTTTGAACAGCTGACTTTCTGGTTAGCAGCCAAATGCCTTAGCCACTACGCCACCACAGCTCCTCTTCAGAGAAGAGTTCCTTTGAAAACACAATCATTTTGTGATTCTAAAGCTCCATGGTGGTTCAAGTGACCAGTGATTATCAAAGTGACAGACCCGGTCTGGTACGCGGACTTCACTCTAACGCCCCCCACACAGCTGCCCAAAGCAGCAGGCCTCAGAATGCTGCCCTGGGCTCTTCCTGCTGCCACACAGGGCTTCCTTGTCACTGAATTTTCCCACAGTTGGAAAAGTCCACCATCTCTAAGCATCTCTGGCGTCCTTCTCCCACTCCCTGCCACCACAGCCCAGTAGCTCAGGTGCTCAGCCCAGCTCGGCAGGGCCGGACTAACCCCCACCTGCCTGGTCTCTCTGCCCCCAGGCTCCTCCCTGTACCCCAAAGCCAGCCAATCATTAGTGAGCCTGTCAGATGTAAAAGCCTACCCCTAAGAACTGAAGAAGACTCAAATATAGGCAGTGAAAAGGGAAAAGTCTGCCCCCAAATCAGCATAACTCAAGGAAGGGAGTTGGTCTGAGAAGAAGATTCACTTTCAGCTTGAGCTGCTTGATAGGGACAGAGAGGGACACATCAAGAAAAGCAGCACAGGAGACAGGGCGCTGGAGAAGCCTCAAGGGGCAGTGGGTGGGGCAGGCACATCCAGCTTTCCTCAGGAGTCAGGTGTCTTTACTTCCAGGAGCACACAGGATTACACCTCCTCACCCATGATGTAAGACACCAGCCATGTGACAGGAAACCACCAGGGAAATGGACCAGAGGGTTAGAACCGCTACCAAGCCCATGCTCTCCTTCCCCATAACACCCAACAAACCCCATTCCAGGTGGGACAGACCCCCACCCATCCACCTCGCCCAAGCCACTGAAGGAGGTTGACATGGGCAGAGCACTCTGGCCACTGCACAGTGGACAGGTGACCTATGCAAGAAGTAAACTTGGCTGTTTGAAGCCACTGAGAGTTTAACATTGTTACCACAGCCTAACCCAGTCTACCCTGACTAAATGGTAGCAGATGGACAGAGGGTGCAGGAGACAAGGGCATTCTGGAAAGGAGAGTGCCAAGGGCAAAGCTAGGAGACCACTCTCAGAGGGCATGCTCGAAAATGAGGGGGCTAGAGAGGAGGAGAACAGCAATGGGAAGAAAGACTGGAAACAGCAGGACAAGGGAAGATGGTGCAGTCTTGACCAGCAGGCCAGGGAAGTGAGCCTGGCTGCCGTGAGCCGGATGAACCAGGAGAGCAGAGACGCAGATCCCAGTTCATACGCTGCAACTACAGGGAGACGTTTACAAAGACAAAAAAAGGGGCGGGTGGACTGGATCAGGAGCGGAGGGATTGGAGATGGTACTCTGCAAGAGAGAGTCCACAAAGAACGAGAATGAGGCAATAGGATGTGTAACTGACTGGTTGTTGAGGGCAAAGACAAAAGAAAGCAAAGTTACATGCCGTTTAGAATCCAAATACCCAGGAGAGTGATGTGATTCGAAAATGAAGGAACAGGCTGATGGAAAAGAGGAATAAATTTTAATTTTCATCTGTCATCATTCTGGTCATACGTACTGGGTATTTCATATGCCAGGTACTCCATCGAGGGCTCAACATGCAGTTGTTGTTGTTAGGGGCCATAAAGTCAGCTTCAACTCACAGTGACTGTATGTACAACACAACAGAATGCTTCTTGGAGGCGAGAATGACCAGACTTCATCTCACCTACTTTGGTCATGTTGTCAGAAGGGAGCATTGCCTGGAGAAGGATATCATGCTCGGTAAAGTGGAGGGTGAACAAAAGAGGGGAAGGCCCTCAACGAGATGGATTGACACAGTGGCTGCAACAATGGGCTCAGGTATAGCAGGGATTGTGGGGCTGGCACAGGCCCAGGCAGGGTGTCGTTCTGTTGTGCACAGAGTCGCTGTGAGTCGGAGCTGACTCGACGGCACCTAACAACCAATCAACATGCAGTAGCTTCCTTAATTGTCACAACCACCCTATCAGACTGCTGGAAATGTCAGGCTGGAGCACAGAAATGAAGATGGGATGGCAAATACAGATGTGGCAGTTATCCCTGTTGAAAGCTGAAATGTGAATGAGATTTCCAGAGCAGCTTGCCATCAGAGGGAGAGGGTCACAGGCAGCCCTTTGGGGCACAGTGAAGACGGATGGTGCATGAAAAGCTGCGGTTGGAAAGGGATGGAGGATCCAGGGTACTGGGAAGAGACATTCAAGGAGAGGCTGCTTGGACCACAGGGTGAGGAGGCCTGGGTGCCGGGGCCCTCCAAGGGGGCAGCTTCCACAGAGTGGAACAGGCAGAGGAGCGAGGGGCACTCGGCGAGCAGAAGCAGCCCCCAGAGATTATTCTTCGAAGAAGGGGGTGATAAAGGAAAGGGAAAATAACTCCTGTGGCAGTATGGAGACAGAGGAGAGCAAATCTACTTGAGGATGTTTGCAGACTAAGGGAAAAGAATGAACAGCAAAGAGATGAAGGAAGCGGGGAGGAGAGCTTTGTCCTAGGAGAGGAAGGGGCTAGAATCACAGGTACAAGATAAGGGCCGGGTGCAAGGAGGAAAGGAGAGAAGTGTGAAGTAGAGACAGACATCCTGAGGTGAATCTTCTCAGAAGCCACACCCCAAAACACTGCTCCCCAACTGCCTACCTCACTGCATGCAAACAGTCATCCCTACAGATAACAGCCAGAATGAACAATGCTCTCACAGACTACCTTCAGGTCCCTCCACTCACCACTGCCTAAAAATGTCCCCTGTAAGACCACTAGACAGCTCTAATCTCCAAACATCCTCTTCCTAATGCTGTGCCACGGTATTCACCATCCCCCAGAACCAGGAGCAGCAATTCCAGACAAGCACGTGCCCTCCACCCCTTCCCGATGGAATCCACCCATCTCTCCAAGTCCACCTCACCTTCCTCCAGAAAGCTCTCTCAGTCTCCCGGTCGTAAGAGCCTCTCTTGCATTGCAAGGAATGGCAATCACTCACTCTCTCATCAAACCCATCATGCTCTCTTTGTATTCAAGTTATTTGTGTACTTGTCTTATCCCCTCGACTAAGATTCTAAGCTTCTTAAGATGTGGAATCACTCATCTGCACAAACCTCCCTGGCCTTCAGTAGAGCCTTGTATACTGAGGACAGAGTCATTGTTTGTTAAATGAATGCCTGAGATTCAGCATCGGGGGTGTTGTCCCGCATATAGCTCCCTAGATGGGTCACTGACAATGACAGAAAGAAAATGTTCAAACCTTTACAACGAAAAGGTCTCAGGCAGGGGAAAACCAAACTGACCCTGAGACATCCTGTCAGAAAGCAAAGACACACTGGAAGACTAATGGGGCAGTGTTAGAAGGACAGCTCCCATTGCTCAAATCTGGGGTTATCTGGTGTCTAATTGTATTTTCTACACCCATCCAAGAAAGTGAGTCCAATGGCTTTTTCTTCAAAGAATCCAGGATGGCTGTAATCATGACAACAATTTTGGGGGTAACTTCAGCCAGGAAATATCCTAGCTTCATTATCTCCAAGTCTTCACAGATTTATTAATAATAATTTAATAAGGCATTTCAGAGACATTGTACTTTACCTTGGGAAGAAGTGTATGGTTCTGTAAAATGTCCATTGTAATGCAGCTGGGGTGGAGGAGGCATCACATAGGGCTGGGGTTTAGGCTAAGAAATGGGAAGTTGGAAGCAGGGTTAGAAGACATTGCCCCATACATGTGCATTATGCAATATACATCAAGTAATTCTCTGTTGGTTTCTTTCTCACCATTGAAAAGTTTTTAAAGGGGTTAAACATATTACAAGTGGAAATAAATAGTAAGATGGTGTAGTCCTTAGAGACTGGAGGAACCCCTGAGATTAGTGTCCTAAGTCACCCTTCTAACATGGAACTGAAGCCACTTCCAGAAGCTGCCTCAACCAAATAATAAACTGGGCTATAAAATAAGCAGTAACCCCCATAAGGAATTTGCTCCTGAGAACAATCAACTGTACAAGATCAAAAGGGCAACATTTGCCCAAAACCAAAGATGAGAAGGAGGGAAGGACGGGGAAACTGGAGAGAGGGAAACCCACTTCCATCGAGTCGATTCCGACTCATAGCGACCCCCATTAGGTTTCCAAAGCTGTAAATTCTTTATGGAAGTAGATTGCCTCATCTTCCTCCCATGGAGCAGCTGGTGGGTTTGAACTGCTGACCTTCTGGTTAGCAGTCAAACGGAAACAGGGAAGGCAGAATAGAAATGGGGAGAGTATTGACACATTAGGAGCTCCGGTAGCATAGTGCCTAAGGCATCTGACTGCTAACCAACCAGAAGGCTGGTGGTTCAAACCCACAAGCCACTCCTTAGAAGGAAGATTGGGTGATCTACTTCCGTAGTGATACCACCTCAGAAACCCAAGCAGGGGCCGCTATGAGTCGGATGTAACTTTTTATGGACATATTGTGGAGACAGTACCCAATGTCAGGGAACAATTTGTCTATGAATTATTGAATGGAAAATGAATTTGCTGTGTAAACTTTCAGCTAAAACACAATACAATGTTCCCAAAAAAAGTTAAGAAAAAAAAAAAGAATATTGGAAAGCAGGAACCTTGAATCTATGTAAGTGAAGGGGGTCTGTGCAAATTTTGCCTATGATTTCATGATAAACGACTAGTAATTAAAATATTATTTTCTGTGCAATGGGATTCATGAGTAAATTTCATGTCTAATATTGGTAATTTTAATATTTAAAGGAGAAAAATAGAAAATAGTATTGAAATTTCACTTTACCATTTGTATTAATTACAATGAATATAAAAAAATTTAGTTAAAAAAATTTTAGAAAAATATGCTCTAAGCCTTACCATTTCTATCATTTTCAATATTCCTTGAATGGCAATGTCAAGCCCTACACACTGATATCAAGGATAGCAGGTGACACAAGAAAGCAATCTACATCCAAAAATCTAAGAGCAAAAAAAAACAGGTACCAATTCCTTCAATTATTATATAAACCATTTGAATATAAACAGCTTGTATGTTGTTGTTGTTGTGTGCCATAGAGTCGGCCCCGACTCATAGCAACCCCTCCTTGGGTTGCCAAGGCAGTATCACTATGGAAGTAGATTGCCCAACCTTTCTTCCGAGGAGTGGCTGGTGGGTTTGAACCTCCAGCCTTCTGGTTAGCAGTCAAGTGCCTCAGGCACTATGCTACCAGAGCTCCTTCCTTTAATCTTATTAGACCAAGTTACACAGTACTTTAAATACCTACTAACATATGATTCTCTTAGCTAAGCAGTCAAAAGAGTAACATTTTTTTTGTTACTGTTCTGCAAATTTTTTTCACTCACCAGTATATCTTAGAGATCTATTTGCATACACATAGGTCCAGTTCAGTTTTGGGGTTGTTTTATTTTTTATTATTTTTATTGTGATTTGGGTGAAAGTTTATAGACCAATTTTATGTACCATACAGCAGTTCATACACATTTTGTCTCATGACATTGACTGCAATTTCCCATAATGTAACAGCTCTCTTCCCACTTCCTCCTCATAGTTACCTCTTCCCTGTGTCCTTCCCTCCATGCACTCCTGCCCCAACCCCACACAGCAGTCTCCCTGCGCATACACTGCCCTTCTGTTCTCTCATGGTTGATCTCTCCAAGGAGTGTATCTACCTGATGTAAATGTTCAGCCCATATTGGCTGGAAGTCACAAGAGTAAGTTTAATTCCAGACCTGAATTCCAGGTCTCAGGGTTTCACCAGGCCCTATGACACCAGGAAACTTGGTCTTCTTTTTTTCCAATTTCGAGTTTTGTTCCACATTGTTCTCCCACTCTATCCAGGGTCTCCTACAGAGATCCCCCTCTGAGTGGTTGACAGTTGTAGCCAGTCGTCATCTAGTTCTTCTGGTCTCATGGTTACATAGGCTGAGGACTGCACGTTCTACCAGTCCCTTGGACTAAGTCTTTCCATGTGTCTTTGATTTTCTTCATTCTTCTTTGCTCTGGATGAGGAGAGACCCATCGTTGCATCCAGATGGCCATTGCAAGCTTTTAATATCCTGGTCACTACTCACCAAAGTAGGATGTGGAACAATGTTTTGTGTAGTATCAAGCTTAATTGGCATAACATACTACACAAGAGTAACATTTTTAACATCAGATTGGACCTAATATTTAAGTATGTGCACACTACACCACAACTCCTTATAGAAATAGTCATTTCTTTGATGAAAAATGATCAACTACCAGCCCTTTTTTTTTTTTTTATCGTGATTTGGGTGAAGATTTACAGAGCTAATTCACTTTCCATACAGCAGTTCACATATACTTTGTCTCATGTCATTGACCACAGTTTACCACAATGCGACAGCTCCCCTCCCACTTCCTCCCCATAGTTACCTCTTCCCAGTGTCCATCCCTCCATATACTCCTGCCCCCTGAGCTGTCTCCCTA